TCATCTCTTTGAGGTTGTTGAGAGTGAAATGCTACAGGAAAGGCTCCTGCTCCTTCTTCTGGTAACTCTGTACGATTACGGCAAGTGGGACAAGAGAGGTAATAGGTCTCATTCTTCTTATCCAGAGGTAGCCCCTCCAGACAGTGCTGACAGAATGAATGTAGGCAGGGTAAAGTCTTAGGGTTGGTATAGTGGTCAAGACACACAGGACAGGTGAGCTGTTCCTCCAGTTTGAGGAGACCAGGAGATTGCTGGACTGCCATGGCCAGAGATGGTGTAGTTTATCAATGAAGACTGAGCAAGAAGTAAAAGCAAACAGGGTTACAAAAAGGGGTGAACCTTAAATGATATTCATAGCCTCACCCAGCCCCTTGCAAGCTAGGTCACATGCACATGCAGTAGATGTTAGAAGCAGCTACTTTTGTGTTACATAAAGAACATTAGAACAAATTTAAACTTTTTACATTTTAAGTGAAAACCACACTTTTTACAAAATACTGTCCTGATATGGTTTAACTCAGTCAAAGCACTGTGGACATTTCCTGATAACTGGGCCATGATTAGTTTCCAATGTCCCCATGCACCCAATAGTAAAATTAAAAAGGTAACATACAACAACATGTGTGTGCAGTGTCTGACTCTAAAACAATAATCTGAGTTCTTCTTGTCTCCTTTATTATACGCTGAGGTTACCACATGCTGCAGTGAAATGTAAGAAACATCTGTTCTGAGTTGTTCAAAAATTATCAATATTATCAAATAATATAAGCTCTGAAATTATCAATATCATCATGAGACATGCCTCATAGTGTTTGTGTTTTTTTCTTCATGAGTTTTTAATATTATATAGGCGGTAGCCTATATGTAGGATTGAGGTTGGTTTTTCAAGATGGCGGCCGTTTTTATGATTTTCAAACACTCATAACTCTTTTATCTTACGTTGTACAGCCTTATAAATGGCTTAGATGAGCTCTCCTTCATTGAGCGATTCTCCTGGTACCTTTAAAGTGGATTGTAATGTAGCGAGAACATTTCTGGAGAATAGGCCCAAATTCAAATTTCTGCAAAATTCTTCAGACTTTTTCTTCTTCTTTCATCTTCTTCTATCAACACGGAAATCTTTTAAGCCAGAGAACCGCTCAAGTTGGCTTTTACATCATTCCTTTGAGCTTGAGTCAAGGACTGGACATGTGGCTTCAAAAAGAAGCAAGGACAGAGAACAATGGAAGACAAATTCCAGCTGCA